GGAGCTCATCCCACAGGCCCCGCCCCTTCCACCACAGGCCCCGCCCCTTCTGCCACAGGGCCCGCCCCTCCTGCCGTAGGCCCTGCCCCTTCCAGGATGGGGCCAGCCGTGACCATGTATCCACATTCTGCAAAACTTATTGCCCACCCCTGACCTAGCCCAGCCATGGCAGGCTTTCCTCCTACCTGTTCTTAAAAACCTCCAGGGACGGGTTTCCAAAGTCTCCCTCCAAAACCTGCCCCAGAGCTGGGCTGCCCTTAGCGTTGGGAAGTTTGTCCTCAAATCCAACCTCCATCTCCCTCGCTGCAGAGTAAATCCGTTGCTCCTTGTCCTGTCTTCTGCGGCCAGGCAGAGCCACTGTTCAGCTTCATCTTTGGAACAGCTCAGGGCCCCGTCTGCCTCCATCTTTTGTTCTCCAGGCTGATCCGCGTTTCCTCCGAGGCCAGGCTGTCCAGCCCTTGGATTGTTTCTGTGGCTTCTTCTCCAGGGGTGGAAGTAACTGAAAATTTCTTATGGGCGATGTCCTATCGCAACCCTCCTTGGGGAAGGGGCTCAGGGCAGGGAGTCGGGGGGTTACAATAAGACAGTACCTGTAAGAAATTTAAGTGGAAGGGGCAAGGGGGTTGGAGGTATGGGGGGGTGCAGGAGTCAGAGCAGAGGGTTGGGTGGTGGGGGGGCTCAGATCAAGGGATGGGGCAGGAATGAGGGTGGGGATGGGTGTGTTTGCGGGGGCTCAGGGCCGGGTGATGGGCAGAATACAGTCCTCCAGCTGAGGACATGCCTTCTTCATAAGTGCATCCCATTGTCGGCTCTCATTCAGTTGGTGATCCACTAGAAAGCCCAGATCCTTTGCAGCTGGACTAGTATCTGGCAGCCAGCGATTCCCCATGTGGTTTTCCCCCCACCCTTCTCATGTAGCTAATATATAAAGGAGAATGTTTGTAAGTTTGTGCCCCAATAACTTGGACACTATAAGAGCTACCGCAACCAAACTTGGCATGGGGTAACCGTTCATCCAGGAGAAGGTTTTAAGGTCCTTTTGGACCCGATCGGGCCCAAGCTCAAGCTGTAAAAATAAAAAAGTAACCTGTTGCGCTGCACTGCAGGGGCTGCCCCACCCACCGTAGGTCCCGTGCCCGCCGCCTGTGGCCCACAGCGTCATCCGGGACTCGCCCCCTCCTGCCTGTGAGGTTACATACGCGACCCCCTTCCCGCCCCCCGCGCTGGCATGCAGTGCCCTGACCCCCACATGCACAAAGGCTCGGGCACCCACCCTGCCCCCTGCGGCACCTGCAGCCCTGGGCACAAGCTGGGGCTCCCCTCCCGCATGTTACCTCCCCTCCACTCGGGGTCACACCCCTCCCCCAGGAATGACGCAGACCTATATTTTAATCCCTATAGAAATCAGTGCAACTTTTCTACCATTCAAAAAAAGATAATGGACGACTGTTTTTCTACATTTTGTTCCTCCGGTTTCCCGAGCAACGCCAGGTGACTCCAGCTAGTAGTACTCTCCATGCTCTTGGACTAATTTTCTTCTCGTTGGTTTCAGACCCGCTCTCCGAATGGCCGCCGTTGCTTTAAATTCTCACCTGGTCCTCTAAAGTGCTTGCAACCCCTCCCCGCTTGGTGTCGTCTGCACACGCAACAGGCACACTCTCCTCTCAACCAGCCAACGCGTTCATGAAAATATTGGCAGCTGCGGGACGCAGGACAGACCCCAGCCGAACCCCATGAGAAGTGAGCTATTGGTGACTACTCTTTCACGACCGTCCTTCCCCCAGGTGCGCACCCGTTTTACGATTTCGTCTAGACCACAGCTCCCTAGTTAGCTATGTGGCCCCTAGGTTGGATCTGGCCCATCAAGCCGCTGGATCCAGCCTATGAGCCATCCCGCTGGGACGCTTAGGCACAGAGCAGCCCCACTGGCCAGCTGCCTCCAGTGGCTCTCTGCTCTGGGTGCTGGGGGTAGGAGGGAGGAGTCACGTGCAGATCCTGCCCCAGCACAATTTGACAGCTCCTATTGGCCAGTTTTGGAAACCTGCAGGGAAGCGCCTCCCGGCCAGATCCTGCCCCTGGCACCCCACCCCCTCCCACACCCCAACTCCCTGCCAAAGGTCACAACCCAACCTGCCTCGGGACACCACCCAAACACTCTGCACCCCCACCTCCAGGTCACTACACCCTCCCAGTGTATGTCTACACTATAGTGCTAATTCAAACTAACTTCGTTTGAATTAGTTAATTCGAACTAAGCTGATTCGAACCAACGCATCCAGACTAAAAAACTAGTTTGAATTAACTTTGTAGTGTAGACATACCCCCAGACCCTGCACCCCTCCCTTAGGCCAGAATCCTCTCCTGAACCCAGGCCCTGCACCCTAAACCTCTGCCCCAGATCACAGTCCCCTCCTTCCCCCAAACTCCCTCTCAGACCCCACCCCCCTCCTGCACCCTAGTTCCCTACCCCAAGCTTCCTTCTGCACCCAATCTCCATGCCAGACCCTACACCCCCAACATAGAAAAGTGCAGCCCCTGACCACTTACCAAAACCTCGGAGTGGCCCCCCCCCAAACATTATCACCCACCCCGGATGTAACTGCATCCGTACATGGGGAGGTTGCCCTGTTTCAACTGTCTAGTGTAGACGAGACCCTGAAGTTGCACCAATTTACCTCCACTGGTGGGATCAAAGCCTCCCTTGAGTGTGAGGTTGTGGGTAGCTCTGGGCTGGCTGTTTGCACCAGTCGGGTAGCTCTTCCCAGCTGAGGCTTTCTGTGCTACCCACCCCGGATGTAACTGCATCCGTACATGGGGAGGTTGCCCTGTTTCAACTGTCTAGTGTAGACGAGACCCTGAAGTTGCACCAATTTACCTCCACTGGTGGGATCAAAGCCTCCCTTGAGTGTGAGGTTGTGGGTAGCTCTGGGCTGGCTGTTTGCACCAGTCGGGTAGCTCTTCCCAGCTGAGGCTTTCTGTGCTCTCCCCTCAGGCATGTAGGGACCCCAGTGGCCCCTGCTCCTGGCTAGAAGAGCGGCTGGCAGCCCCCGGGCAGACCTGGGCCAGGTGTTCTGAAAGCCAGAGGTGATTCCAGGTGGGGGAGCCTGGCA